TTCTTGCCTCTCCCCTCCTCTCCTCTCCTCTCCTCTCCTCTCCTCCTGTCTCCTCCCCTCCCCTCTCATTTCTGCTTTAAATAATATGTAGCCAAGCAAGCAAGCTCAAAAGAGTTTACACGTGCATAAACTTCCCATTTAAGAGAATGATTCTGCACTGAAAGTTGATGTGAGAACTAACATACTTCTTGCCTAATAAAATATATGTATATATAAGTGAACAAAGATTAAAAGCATTTATTTTGAAATAAAACTTCACCAAAAAAAAAAAGGAAGTATTTAAAGTCTACTGCCTCATTCTAGGATGGAAGATGGATTTCTTTATCACCTACCACCAAATATTTTGGGACTAGACAACTCCTATCCCTTCAGTCACAAAACCTTCCTTGATCTATATTCACAGAAGACCAAAAGGACAAAAAAAATGGGTGGAAGGATATCCCCTTTGGCAAAACAGACTAGAGAATTTCACTTAGTTTTGCCTATAGGCCAGTAAGGTATTGTAAATACGGCTGTGTCTGTTTTTTGTTTGTTTTGTTTTTGTTTGTTTGTTGTTTTCCTGGTGCTTTCTGGGTGTTGTTGTTTTTTTCCTCACAGTAGAATATGTTGAATAATTTCAACCTTCAGCCAACAGAACTTGGTTATGCTCACAGTGTTAAATGAAAAGCATAATCACATCACTGTAGAGTATTTCAGGAGTCCACATCAGGGTGCAATTGGAAGCTTGTAAATCCACACAGCAGTGCACGGTGGCCTAGGGACCTAACTGTGACAGTGTCTCTGGATGTTCCCATCTCCAGAGTTACTGCAAAAGACTCTGCACAACAGCTTTTTATACCATAATTTAAAGTAAGTTTGTATGTTTAGTATATTAAATCCTACAAAAAACCTGTCTGATGTAACTGTATTTTGACTGTTTGTGTATATATGTATATAATGCATTTTTAAGACGTTAGTTCCTGGATCTAATCTAAACAGAACCAGAAAACTACAGTACTCAAACTACTTACCAAGAATGAGTTTTTCATTGATCAGAAGGAATGATGTTATATTTTTAAGTATTTCTGCAGCTGCTAACAGCATCTCTGTCTCTTGCTCATCTCCACAAGAATAAACTATCAGCTGAATCCACTCTTTTAGGACCTCTTCTGAAATCTGAAAGCACAGAAGAAACATGATAAGCACACTGTAAAATCGGGTGGTAGGGGTTGCCACCACATTAAACTACGGACTACTGAAGAAATGCTGCTTGTCAGTAAATGCAGGTTTTTTTAGGTGGTGAGTCCCACATGTCTGCTCCAAAACTGACTGACCATGTCACATGTATTTTGCTTGACAGCAAACAGTCCTGGGCAAATCCTGTTGTGCAATCACAGACATTGGTACGCTGTGGTAAGAGTGGTTAAGAGGGAGCAAGGTGGTGGTGACAGCCACTATGTGCCCATGCACCAGCACTGCACAAAGGGACAGATCCAGAGCAGAACGCACCAGGTTGAAAACAACCCCCTCTTCTGAGTGATTGCAGTCTCAGGCTGAACGAAGTCATACTGAACACAGTAAAGAGCTATACCCAACCACAGCTTCAGCTGTCCTGTTTTCCCCTTAGATTTAGGTCCCTTATTAGCTCCCTAGTTATTAGAAACCACAAAAAAGTTACACTTTAATAAATCGAATGGATTCAATACACGTGTTAATCACTGTGGACATTCTTCTTTCCACAGTGAAGTGACAATTTTGGATGCTATCAGAAATCAAATCAAATTCATTAGAAAAACTTACCTTCCCCCCCCCCCAAAAAAAGCACAAGGCCCTATCCAAAGACAAATAAAACCAAAAAAATAACCCTCTATAAATAGAAAACTGTTAAGAAGCCCCATTTCCCTTACCTGTTCATGATTCTGTAGAAAATGAACAACCAACTTTGAGGCAAATTTGAGAGCTATGCTTTGAATTTCAGTACTGAGAAAACAAGATAAGGAATGTATCAAAAAATACAGTTATTTCTGCCATTTCATCTCCAAAAGAAAAACAGACTGCTTTAATCATTCTTGATTACCACCAGTAGTTATTGTAAAAGCTGAGCACTCAATAATTTTTACAGACCTCAGCTTTGGTTAAGTTTGCAATTTATGCACAAGTGAAGTAATGCTCTTATTTTTCCCTCTCTCATATTTATTTTCTATCTGCACTATAGAAAAACATTAGTAAGTAGAACTCAATTAAACAAACCAGACTTTAGTATTTTAGATGATAAACAAAAGCATCTCTCCAAAGCGGTGTGAAGTTCCTGGTATCTCTCTTCTACAGAGATGTTCCTGGTGTCAGAACACATCAGGTTCCAGCTCCTGAGCCTCTGGACAACCCGCAGGGCCAAAGGAGATGGTGTCTGGCACTTTGGTTCCTGGGGTGCTGGGCTCAGGGCAGGAGAACAGCAACACTTCAGCAATAAAGTCTGCTACTTCAGCTGTTTCCATCTTCACCAGCACCAGGCAGTATTTTAACATGTACCCTGCTTCGTTCCAGAAATAAACACTCAACATTATCATGTAAACTTGGCAAATTTAGAGAAAATCAGCAGCAAATGTGCAAGCTATATGCTGCTACTCTACACTCTAAACCTTAAAGATTACACATTGCTAATGCAACATATGATGTTTATATGGTTTCAAAGAGACTATCATCAGTTTTAGAAACAGGGTGGTATTGCCCTCAGACTCAATACACTTTCTCCCTTTTTGTCCAGTTTGCTGCCAACAGGCAGACACAGCCACCCTTTCAATGTGAATACAGACTGACTCCATATTTTCAGCATTTCTATCTGACTTAACAGAAGCATTCTGATTAGAGAGAGCTATTTCAAAACAAACACTAACAGTTACATAGATGCAAAAACAAATACGTGCCTGCATAATGTAAACTGACAACTACTATCTAGGAATGGGAAGGTGAGAAAAGCTTGATATAGAGCCAGGATGAAAGCAAATCTCTTGTCCTGGAGGATTTCATAATAGAGCATTAATCCTTAAATCTCCCCACACCTTTTAACTCCCTGGTGGATATCTTTTTGCCTGAGTTGGAAGCTGAAGACTTAGGGTTGGGAAGCCACTCTATTAACTTTCCCCGGGGGAATAACTTTTCCCTGGGGGCATGGTCAGAAAGGTCCTAGACTCTTGATCCCAAGAACTGACCGATCAATCTGTCCAAGAAACACACTGCAAGTTCAGGAGAGGAAAAGTCAGGAAACGGAATCCTTTTGGGGGAACAAGATTTTGCTAGTCAGAAGACAGACCTTTAGTGTCGACTTGAATGGAAACCGTGTGAAGGCTGAAGCACATCCTAGCCCTTCTCCACTTGTCTGCGTCCTAGTGTCTTTCCCAGGATCTGTAGCTGAGGCCTGCCGAAATCCCCACCATGTGAAGACAGCCCAAGCTTCGGACACCTCTAAATCTCAGGTTTGAATTGAAGAGCAGACTCTAGATCAGCTCTCAAGCTGCCCACAGGATGTGGTGGCAGTAGGTCACACTAGGCCTACTGTAACAGCTACAGCAGGCACACCCAGGGCAGGCACTGCTTGACCAGGCCCAGCCAGCTCTGTCTACCTCTCGAGTGGTGTGCAGCCACGTCTTGGATAGCCTAAGTCTGAATTTTCTTCTCTTTTGCACACTGGGCTTGCCTAAAGCTGGTCTGGGATTCAGACTTGCACCCAAACAATGTGAGAAATGAGCAACATCAGCACTGGGCATATGTGTTCAGCCTACAGGACAGCACATGCAATGCACATAAATTCACGCCTCTAGTGCTTGCTAGACAGCACACGGAACACAAGAAGGAAAACTTGGATTCAAGCAATCTTACGAAGAACCATTCAGGCCTAAGACTTATATTTCAGGATTTTGTTTTTAGGGGCAATTATTTCTATTAACCCAACAAGTAAAATCTGATCCATCAGATCAGATTAGATCTTTCTACAGATCTTCCATAGATAAACTAGAATAGAATGGATGAACAATTGAGAGCGAATTAGTGTATGCTTGGATTAATATTGTACTGTTGTATTTCCCAAAAGCCCTTCGAACAGAGCTATATTCACTGGTATCATCTGAGGGCTGTAGTAAATTATGATTTCATGAACTGAATCAGTGGAGACTTATGGGGTGCTCACCACTGACTTGAAGGTCTTTAAAATATTTCGGATATAAGTCTCCCAAAACGGTTTTCAAGATCTCCTTTTTCAAAATAAGCCAAACTCAGTTTTTCTGAAATATGGACTTGTATTAACAGGAAAAAAATCAAAATAATAAATAAGCAATTGAATATTTAAAAGTTTTTCAAAAGTAGTGTTTTGGTAACCACGAGGGACCATACCTGTTGGAGGCATCTACAATATTCAAACTCCAGATTAAGAGTTCGCTTGGATTCATTTTCATAGAGCATTCAGTCTTTGGAAGCACACTTTGGAGATCCATATTATAAAGAATTTCCAGCACCTGCACACATCATTCAAAAAGAATTCACCAACAATCTCATCATGAATGTGTACATTTGAGATGAACAAAGCACCAATTTAAAGCCAACTACAAAAGCTCTCCCCTGATGGTGCTAAAATAGAAAGTGTAGGTTTTTACTTTTAAGCAAGAACATCTCTTATAGGATAGCACAGGTCCTATTTAATGTAAAAAAAAAAATCCCGTTTACATAATATGAAAAACAAACATATCATTCACAAAAATACTTAAGAATTTTATTTACCGCAAATATCTACTCTGAATAAAATAGCATTCTCCTACCTTGCAAAAGCACTGGAGATCACTCTCCTTCACAGCAATTGTGAGCAGAGTATCTTCCACATCACAGAGTAAGCACAGCACACCTCTTTCTTTTTCTGTAATCTGCTTGGAATTTACTTGTTTCAACCAAAGCAGCACAGCCTCCAAGACAAGCAGACGTACTTCATGAAACTCACAGTGAAGAAGACTAACTACTGACAATGATGGCTGGGCTATTTTCCCTGCAAAAGATGAATTGCTGCTCTGGATGTCACGATCTGCGGTCGCCGACAGCACTGATATTACGAGCTTGGTGATGCTCTGAAGATACTGTGTCAGTCCTGGTATTACAGACAAGTAGGGAACACCTGTCATCAATTCAGACTCTGAAATTATGGTGTTCAATTCTGCCCAAAATCCAAGCAATTGTGTTCCTGAAATGAGAATAGTAAATAGAATGAGAATATAATACTAAGTAAAGTAACAAGCAGATGATCATCTGTTCTAGATAGGAAGTGATTCTGAATTTAAAAAGCTTAAGGCGTGAAAAAGATCTTAGAAGGTAAATTCTGACATGAAATGACAGCAAAGATATCCTTCATTTTAAACTCATTCTATACTTTTAAATATCTTTTCTAGAAGTCATGCATTCATAATTAAATAAAAAGAAATAAGGACACAAATTTTTTGGAAAAATGTTTACATAGTTCAACAGGTGAAATCAAAGCTTCAAACAACTCGAAAAATGCTACAATACTTTGCACATTGCTCCTGAGGTTTTACCTCACGATAAACAGCAATTACTCCTAATTACAAAAGACAATTCAGGACAACTCTGCCAGTTATAATCGCATGTCAAAGTATTTTCTTAAACTAACACAGTCTTGCAAGTTGCATGTTTTGGTGTTCAAAGTGATTTATGCAAAGATACTTTACTAAACACATCTGAAAAGAACATACTTCATCCAGAAAAGTCCAAAAGCACCAAATACAGTCCACTTGATAGAACAGCTCTAAAATGAGAGATCAGATTGGCAAACAGATTGCAGTCTCTGCAGGCCTACCAGCTGCAAGTGAAATCAGCAGACACAAGGAGAAGGCCATTGCAGCATTTGTGAAAGTCCCACTCTACAGATAACTTTAGTCAGAAAAGCTCACTGCGTAAAAGAGACATAGTCCTAATAAACAGATCTGCCCTGTGTCCATCAACTGTTGCAAATTTACTCATTAAAAATCCAGCATGCTCTTTGTATGCGTATTAACTTTGAGCAGTTAAGAGAAAAGAGATTGCATCCTAAGCCATTGCACATGCAATGACACAGAAAGCATGACATTTTAGTCATTTACATCCATCTAATCATCCTAAATTGCAGCCCGAAAACCTTCTTTACTGCCCAGCCACCTCCAGGAGTTGGTGGAAAGGTCACCACTATCTGCAGTGCCAGAGGGTAACAGGCTCCAGCAACGTTGGCAACGTTGACACAGACAAAGGAAAATGAAAAGCAAAGTTCCCTCTCCCGCGTGGGCGCTCTCACACATCCATGCACGCACCCACACCCACAGAGTGGCACACACCCACACCCACGTTCCTCAAATTCATCGCATTTTCCATCATCCACAGGAACAAATGATTTTATAATATTGAAAGCATGCTTGTACATCTTGCACTGCATGAAAATTACAGTGCTATACCCTACAAACTGCAATGAAAGCCAGACATAAGAAAAATTCCTGAAAAAAATAAACTCAAGTACAGAGAAGAGTGCTGAAACTGGGAATTTTGAAGTTTTATCTCAAAATGCACTAAAGATAGAAAAGATTAAGGCCAACTTGGTTGGATTTCTCTATTTTCTACAGAAGATAATTGATTACTATATAACTTGGCTCTTTAGAATTAGCTAAACACTAAGCTTTACCAAAAAGCCTGACAAAATATTAACATTAAATTGTTGAATTTGGCATGAAGTTACAATACAAATTGAATACTTATTTTATTGCATTTTTGTAGTCCTTGATACATTTCCCTAATCCTTCTATTTCTAGTTAAATATCCTGCTCTTTAATATTCGAGTTCTTTCAAAGCCATCAACACTTGACATTTACATAGAAACTTGGCAGTCATACATTGTCTAGCATAGAAGGCAGATACATTTTCTGAGTAATTCTGGAGTAAGTTTCAAAGAAACTTGGCATTTGAAAAAGATGTGCAGACATATTAGTTCAATCAGATGTGTTCTCACTGCAGGTTTTTCTTCTGCACTGGTTTGATGTGGAACCTGCATTTTCTAAAGACCCTTCAAATAGACTGACATTCCAGACTGGCATTGTAACAGACTAGCATTAATTCCTATGTCACATGACAACTATCCAGTCGCTAAAATTCCTTAATATCTGAACTGATTGCCTTGGAAAGGATTAGATCGTGGGTCCTAGTTACTACACTTATAAGACACCACTGATAAACTCAAAATAATCTTAGCCAGTTAAAAGAAAAAGGTCTGAGTTCAGGCATCTTGGTTCCAAGGAGAGAAATGGCTTCAGTTTTAGAGGTCTGGATCCTTCCAGTCTCTTAAGTGTTGTCCAAAACCGCATTTTAGCCATACGTAATTCCACAAAATCAGTTGTTCAGATCCAGTCTGTATTTTCAACACTTGCAGGTGAAGTGTTTGTTTCTAATTAGCTTCGCTTTGAATAGAGGTGTGAGTATCTCATGCACAAGTAGTGACATGAAGACCTATGGGATGGAAGGGTCACAGCAAGGCAAGGCAGAGCAATACTAAGTGGCCAGAGAGGGACAGAGAGAAATAGTGTTTGTTTTGTTTTGTTTTGTTTTGTCAACATCGCCAGCCTCACTAGAGCTCAATACCCTCTGGCATCACAGATAATGATAACTATTCCTTTAACTTCAGGAGTTGGCCACCTACTAAGTTAAAGATCTGTTTGCTGGATTCTTGAATTCTTCATTTAAATTCTGCAAGGCCAGCATCACTTCACTCACTAAGTGTGTTCATCTTAGGGGAGACAATTATTTTCACATACAAGCACTGTAGAGCTCCTAGAAATACTAGCTTGCAGAGGCTGCGACACAAGACCTGTGCCACAGATGTCCCTTTTTCTGTCTGTCTTTGCTCAGCCTTTGTATGCTAGAGAGCCAATCCTTCCCGCTTCCTCCTGTGATCTGCAAGCTGCTCTCCAATGCTCTTCTTTTCACACATCTGAATAAAGAAGGAAAAGAAGAGCCCTGTCTTATTACCGTGCAGCAGAAATATTCCTGCTTTTAATTGCATCATCAAGAAATCCTTCCTGGCTTTCATGTAAATATTTTCTTTGCTGACTAACTTTAAGTAAACTCTTTTCTTTGGCCTACAACAAAATTTCTGACTAAACCAAGAAAAAAACAACAAAACAAAAAACAACCAACCCATACTAGCATACTAGATTCCAAAGTAAATGTCCGGCTCTGTTGTTAAGACACAGTAAAGACACATTTTTATTTACAAACAAAAACACTGTAAAGTTTGAACCAGATGCCGCCAGACGGAAGAGCCAGTTTTGGCCGACCAAACAAGGACACTGGCAATAAAGAAAAGTCAGCTTTGTCCAGGAAGATGATGAGGAGAAGAAGGTCCCAAGAGTTCGGGTTTTTTTTTTTCTCTCTTTCTTCTTTTTTCCCCTTACAGCTGCCTTATTTGTCTGGGACAGGAAGAACAAATTCCTCTTTTACGAAGAGGCATTTCTTGCACATCCAGTTGGTTCTCCTCAGCACAGTACATAAACATCTCACAGCCTTACACAATCCCTTATGCCCTTTACATTGTTATAGCATGTAACATCTGCATGTGGATGAGATGAGGAGACAATAAATATTTTGCAAAACAGATCCCTAACTGCAAACATGCATTTGCTGTTATCTTTAGAAATTTCTTGACAGTGTGGGACATGAACAATTTTGACAGGGGAAGTTAAGTCTTTGGGGGTTAGATATGATGGATTGTTTTATTTATTACAACCAACTGAAGTTCCCAGGCAGGTACATGATGGTAAATCATCCTTAGTCATCTGGAAGAAAAGAAAGAGTAAAGGGAGAGGAGCAAAATGGGATTACCAGACCTGATAAATCCCTGAGCTATGGAGCCTCCCCTCCTCAAAGCCTAGCTAGCTTCCAAGCCTGGGATCTCTGCAATCTACTGTGAATCTTCCGTGATTGCTCTACTGTTCTTTTCTTCCTGATGGCGGCAGAGAGTTGAGTCTGTTGAGTCTGAGTCTATGCTGTTGAGTCTGTTCGCAGGCTAAATACATATATATAGCAAAGAGAGAAAAACTTCCCTCTTCAGGAACTAACATGCCATCAGCAAACTGCCAGAGATCTCAGAGATTATACAATATGCTTGAGATGATTGACAGAAATCATTTGAATTTCTTCTATATTTAAAAGCTCAGCTTGTTTCACCCCCTTACCAGTTGATGTACAGGAGTATGATTATGCATTTCTGTTGGATTAGGTAATTTTACAGTGGCTGTCTAGACTGCTGCCAGTTTTGACAGCTCTCAGTATCAACAAGCGTGTGTTGTGTGAGGGGCTTTGCTTTTAAAGACAACCAGACACATCATCAACATCATCAGAAACTAAGCATCAGTACTGGCAATACAATCCAAGACTGCAAACATGAGGCACTGTCATCTGAATCTTTAGCAATTTTTCTCTCATCTTTTCCCAGATTTCTCTTCTTTATCCTACTTTATGTTGACTTGCTTTACAGATGCAATATAATGCTTTACAGACAAGTGCCTGTTTTTGAACACAACTCCATATAAAATGTGCTTAGTCAAGTAAAGTTATTAGTCAAGTATATTAGCCAAGTATATTTTAGTTGAGTTGAATCAATTTTTCATTCCATGAATTGACAAAGTGCTCTCAGAAAATTGCTCTGAAAAGCCATCAAGAAAGAAAATTGAACGTGTTGTATTGTGGCATTCTTCAACTGGTACAAAGCAGATGAGCCCTCCAAAGCTGAGTGTTCACTGCCACCTCCTGCTCTGGCTCCTGAGCTGCCAATTCCACTGGATCACAGTCATGGGAGCTGCTTGGATTCAACACCGATTTCCAAGAGGAGATCTGAAAGCAAGCAGGATTGTGACAGGCCCTTTCAAAAGCTCACACATTCAACGAAATAGAGAAACCTTGTTGATAAAAACAGCCTATCAACATACAGTCTGCTTATAGTCTGATATTCTGTCTCTGGCAAGGCCCATCTCTGATTGCTTCACAAAAAAAAAAGTGCAGTGTCTAACCTTAGTCAGGCATGTGGATCTGTAACCTTGCAGCCTGACAGACTTCTCCTTTTGACTCCCACTGATCCAGACTTGTGAATTTATGAACATATACACCTGAGCTGGCACCCCTTTGGCCATCTCATCAGGACTCTGAGGCATCCTTCCCCTCTTAGTGTTCCTTGCTTCTTGCAGGAAAACTGTAAGTGAAGTGTTTGGAACCGACCTCTGTTCCTACACCACCTACCCACCACACAGTGCTGCTGTATGTCTTGAGGAATAATTTAACAGCTCTTTAGCAGGGTACAAGTGCCAGAACATCACCTGGAAGAAGAATGTATTGTTCTACCCAGTAGACTGGAAAGACATTGGACAGGTGGGATTTCAAGCCAATAAAAATAATTACTCTAAACACAGTGTATCAAAACTTTAGAGGAACAAATGTGCCAGAACTTATTAACCATAATTAATTCTGAAAGTAGGCATTAACTCATCAAACAATCCTAGATCAGGTAAGAACTTTCACTTGCTCCCAATAAAGGCAAAAATAGTGTTTATAGTTACATATTTAAACTTTTCATTTTTTTTAATAAGCTGTTTGATTCAATTTTCTTCCAATTGCATTTGGTAGCTGACAAAAGGATAAAAACTATTCCTGTAAGTTACATTACCATGGCATTCTCTACAGTCTACCCAAACCATAAGGTGCTCTGGCTTACCAAGCTTGAAAAAAGGATCTAGATTTTACACGTCAATTGAGGAAAAACAATTGATATTTTGCAATGACATTACTCAGGCAACACTCTTGTCCAAAGCAGCAAATCAGACTAACTAGGGTTTTTTTTTGTTATTACTGTTTGTTTTAAAGTAAATAATCATCACTTGGGTGGCAATAAATTTTTAGTTGGACAATAGGTTTTTGGTATCCATTATTGCCTGTCTTCCTTACTCACATTGTAAACTGATTTGAATTTGTGAAGTAAATTCCTTCAGAGCTGTCCTGCACTTTAGGAGACAGATTTTATTAACTGAACACAACAAATCACTTACAGAAAATAATCGTAATGAAGGAAAGGACTAGGCAGGTTTGTACTCTGAAAATCTCTTTGTAATTGTAGCCCCTTTAGACAGACATAATCAATTAGAAGTGGTCTGATTTTAACCAGTTGCAGGCTCATTACATTGCATTCCCGTTTGCGTCGATGAAAATCAGTGCAGCCTGTGGCCTGGAGCTCATATACAGCACTTCCTGGGGCCTCTTAGATAAACACATCAAGCAACAGTTTTATTTGGATCTGTCCTTTGCCCTTTATTCATTGAAACAACTTTACAAATCAAGATTAAAATGAGAAAAATTGGCTCGTAACCAGAGATACACATACATGAGTAAGACTTTTAATTTGAGACAAGTATAAAGCTTCAGTTAGTAACTATTCCTTACAGAATATTTAAGTGTGGGACTCAAAACATTCATATTTTACTGCTGAGTTTAGCCTTTCTTTTGCTTTTCGAGGGACACTCAGATTGTATTTAATATAAACATACTACACCCTCACTTCAAAAGGGCTTCTGCATTTCATATATTACATTGTGCCTAATGTAGCTTCAATTTTTTAAAGGTTTTTTTTTTTTTTTTTTCTCTCCATTCTAGGTTTCTACTCCTAGTAGATACTGTCTGGCACATATAATTTTAAATACAGAAATGTAAGCAAGCAATGTTAACAAATTATTCCTGAGCAGAGAGTCTGCAAAAGTAACTGCCTTCTACAGAAATTCTTCTAACATGTAGCAGTCCACACAGGTTTTGAAAAATAAATGAATTTGTTACGGTCTGTAATACAGCCACAGCATGCTGTGGTCCTTCACTGTCCTCCACTGGTCAGGGACACGACCAAAAACTCTGAGTTTCCTGGCATGGAGTGGTCAATAAAGACTTTTGCCTATGTGCAGCAATTACTTAAAAACTGTCAGAGCAGCAAAACAAAAGCTATAAGGAAGAGGAAAGAGACTGATGAAGGTAATACAATGCTCACTGACTAAGCAAATGAGGAGCCCTCAGCCAGAATACTGTCTTCTCTGTCATAAAAGGGAATACAGAGTGATGAGAATAATCAGAAGTAAATGAAAAAAGCTTCATATGACGAGAATGACAAAAGACTGGGATGAATTCATATTACAAAGGAGATGAACAGATGTAGAGGATTCTGATAAAAAAGCATATGAAAGAACTAATATTCTATAGAAGAGCCATCTTTAACAAAGGAGTTTTCAAATGAAGATGAAGGATGACAAATCCAGATTACTTCTTAAATGTGCCACATTCTTTCTAATTTATTGCTAAAAATTATCACCAAGACCAATTGCTTAGCAGAATTTTAAAACATTGTATTTCATACAAATAACAAAAATAAGTATATACTCATATAACATGAGAATTACAGATAGTAGATCTGGCCCATCCAAAACAAACATTCAGGAGTCAGAAAAAAAACTTCTCCCTGGAAGCTGCCTTGGAATGCTCTGCATAGGAAGCTCCTTCCTGCACACAAAGCCTGCAGCCCATTGCAAAGAGTGGCCAGTACCAGATGTGCAGAGACTAATGGTTTGACGTCTCTGGGCAAATCCCAAGCCAAAGATCAGAAAGGGAGAGTAACACTCTGTTTTTCCAGTCTGGCACCAGTAACACATTTTGGAAAGCTGGAAGAGATTGTTTTGTTGTTGTGGTGGTGGTTTTAATAAAGTTCTAGAATTAGAAATACTGCAAAAAAATCAAGATTCAACGTTTGGCAGCGAACAGTATCTCATCTATCTCATCAAGAGTCTCCAGAACCAGCTCCCGCAAGGCAGAATTAATGGCCCTTTTATACAAAACAGCTGAAATACCCAAAGGACTCTGGCATTCAGCAGATGCCGTGAGTACAGGTAATGTATTATTGCTTCTCCAGATACAAAACAGATCAGAAATTTCCTCACAGAAATTTAATCTGATTTATATAGCAGTATTTTTGACTTACCTGGTATTTGAAACTTCCCCAGATGAGTATTCAGCATCACAAGGACATCAATATAGGCAGCTCGAGTCACCAAACAAGGATTTGGTCTGGAAAATTCAGTTACTAGAGATTAAATCCTTATAAAATCTGTGCTTAGACACAACTAGTAAAGCATCAGCAACTTGAAAAAGTGCACCAATGCAAATGTCAACTGCTATATGAAAAATGGGCTTAACTATATTTTGCCTCATTAATAAAGATCAGCTACTGGTAAGCTTCATATCCTGGTGCAGACTAAATAACATCAGGTTTCCTCCATCCATTTCCACAAATTCCAGCTTATATAATTTATTATAATTGGATGAATCAGCTTGCTTTGGCAATTAGTACATATTCATTTTGTTTAAAGATAATGTAATGTGTGCTTTTAACTGCTTTATCAAACACCAGACTTTCAGTCTTTGAGCTCGTAAGAAAAAAACAATCCCTATGAAAGGTATCTACTACATCCTTTTATTAGCCGTACCTCTACCACTGCTTTGATGAAGACCCCAGAGGCTCACAAGTTTTTTAAATTATGTTTTTTTTCCCCCAAGAAAATCGGTATTGAGGATTTTGTACATGAGCGATATCCACTGGTCTACATTCTGCTGTACTTATTCAAACCACAAACAATAAGCATTTTGTTTTCAATTAGAAAAGTCAAAATTAGGTTAATATCTTCATTTTTACCACTTCATGTTTCATCCAAAAAAACTCTCTCTGGTACACAACTTAATACGTGAACAGGACATCCAGTTCAAAAACGAGAAATTAATCAGATGAGTCAAAGGTACATGCACTAAAACAAAACCTCTGAGAATCAAGCAGTACAAGTTTTAAGTATGACTAATTCTGCTCAATACTTCATTTTTATTTGGTCTGGCACTTACTTTGTATGCTTATCTTTACAGCTGAAACTCATTCAAAAAAGTGTTAACTAAATATGTTCCAACAGACATTCTTGACTCCATAACATCTTTAAAATTCTAGGAAAAATAACTTCGGCAATTTATAAAGATACATGCCCATGACATGGAAATTTAACAGTTTTTGGTGTGGGATTTTTGCTGCTGGTTTTGCCTAAGGAGGAGTTAGGCTATGCCTAAATTAAAAGGACCACTGCTACCTGAAACACTCCTCTAAGCAAAGCTCTTATCTGTGTCTTGGGCTTATGGGTTTACGAAGTTCAACCCACAAAAAAGCAAATAACAGGCCAGTGAGGCAGCCAGCCAGCCAGGGGAAGCTCAGTTTCCTGTAAGATGGACTAAGCAGCCATGAGGGAGATTTAAATTAAGATGACACACACGACGGGCCTACTTCACTCTATCTAGCCTACAAAAACTGAAAACTCTTACTCCATCATTTCATCAGAAAACAAATTTCCAACCTGCAAACTGTGACTTGGGAAAACACGCTGATGCGATCACTACTGAGGAAGTGACAACAGCAATACCGAAATGTGTTTTATTCCGGTCCAGCTTTTAAGCATTTACCACATAATTTTGAGTGTACACATATTCATTTTTTGATTTTGAAATACATATATATATATTACTTTAGAACAAGCCAAACATTTGTTCTTGACCTCGTCCATGGCTCTGGTGATGTTAGTGAATTGCCAACCATACATGCCAGACAGATAGAACAGGAAGTCCAGATTTCCAAAACCAAGAAATTTCAGTTGTTCAGAACATAGAAAAAAGCTCAGTGTTTAAAGATAATCAAGATTTTTATTTGCATAATAGACCTGGCAGCCAAAAACCACATGCTGAACATTTCAAATGATGCACTGTGCAGTATTTAAAATGACCTTTTTATGCAAAACTTAAACAATGAGAATGGAGAGAGTACAAAATGTTTCTTTTTTAACACAGATATCCAAATAAACTGGTGCTGTCGTAAACAAGCTCTGTAGAAAATCTCTCTCCAAACAAAGAAGTCATAGCACTAGCAAGGGTGTGAGCTGCAGGCATCTGTTCCTTCCTTTTTGGTCCAAATCCCCCAAATTAGCTCACTTCCCATATGGATATTCACGAAAACAAACACCTCAGATGCCTACTCCAGATGACAGACTGTATCTGACTCTGCAGAGAACAGAGCTCAGAATGGCAGGAGTCTTGTACCAAGGGTATGCTCAAACAGAAATATAATGTGCCTATGAAAGCAATATTCGAACTACTAATAGATGCTAACAGCAGGGTAGCACAGCACAGAGATTTGGGGCTCCTCATTAAGGAAATGTTGTGTTCACTTTAGCAAGGAGTTTGGTGCAACAGCACATCTGTGAAGTCAAACAGCTGGTACCAAGGACCCCATGTCCACCTTGTACGCCATGCCCAGGAGCAATAAAATCCTTTCAGAAGTTAGGCTGCGATTTTTTGTTTCCCTTTGGACTCAAAATTCAAATGTTACAGTCAACCTACTGCAGGGACCTCACTGCACTCAGAAGCTTATTTTGAAGTTGCCAGTACCCCTTCACGCTGCTGTTAGATACTAACTGCCCAGAT